AATGATTGTGATATTCGTAATCACCGTACTGGTATACGCCCCTAACGACGTTTTGACCATCTTGAAATCTTGGGCCATCTGCCGTATATCCATCGTAACCCGAGAAAATTGCGGTAACTTGCGAATTTAGTGTGATCGTCATGTCCACGTGCCAAGTAATCTAGGCAAAGATTCGAACAAATCGTGATCTGGATTCCGTAGTGAACCTGCCGTAACCACATACAGAGGCGTTTCTGTGTGGAGAAAGAAGTGTGGTATTTGTGCTCAGCATGTCAGATAGCCTCCACGTTTGAGCGACACAAAATTTCGGAGCGCGGAAGCCGAATAGTGACAATAACATTTTTCCGCGTTCTGGACACCACTATAAAAGAGAGGTCAATTTGTGGACTAATTCTTCTAAACGGTTTTCAGGTAAATCTAACTTTATCCATTGATGTTCGTGATCGGCATGTCAAGTAACTCTTCAGAAGTTTCAGCGAAGTTCGTGGCTTTGACTCACTCCTTATACCTATCGCACCCCCAGAAAATGGCGCTACCACGCAAAATCAATATGATATCCCCTGCACTAGCGGGTCGATTAACCTCCCTAGAAAGAATTTGAGCAAAATTCACGGCTTTAAAATCTTGGGGCCCAGATATTGGAAAGGCAACTGTAAGGATGAACAGAGCTGGAGTGCACTCAAAACACATAAGACTGCAACAATTACTGTAAGCCGGAATGAAAAACTTCTTGGACAAAATTCAATTCAAACCCATGGCAAGAATTCTAGGGCCCGTGTAGCCGAGTAGCGCCACGTCTTTTCATACGCTGCATATCACCGCTACTCCATTATAAGGTGTTCTTGCCTAGCAAGCATGGTATTCGTAATCAGCATGCTTCCAAACCCTTCTAAGCAAGTTGTGAGCAAATTTGGAACTTCACACACTACACCGTACACAACGCACCCAAGAAGATGGCGCTATCTTGAAAAATCCATATGATATTCATGTTCAAAAAAATAAATAAAAAATAAATAACTCTCTAGGAGAAGTTCAGAGGAACGTAATTTTGACTCCCTACAATATGGCCACAGTAACGCTCACGAAGTGGCGTTACGTATGAAACAAGTGTCATGTGCAGTATGATCGAATAACCCTCGCCCCCCCCCCCCTCTGGGCCAAATTTTAGGCAAATTTGAGAACCTGGTGTTATCTTGGTGCGACTGGATATCGCGCTCTATTTGAAATCCGGCAATTTAGTGCCGTTCTATTACCAAATATCAAAAAAACCTAGGATGTATTTTCTTGAATTTCGAGTGCGTTGAACTTCATGCTAAAAGTTATAACTTTACAGTAGTTTAGCTCTCACAAGGTAAGGATACTTAGTCGAAGTGGTGTTTCCATAAGAAGTATATGCTGTCTTATAGAGCATGGAACGCTGATCCCTAATCTGCTTTCATTATCTGCAAAGCGCTTGTGGAAGGGAAGTTATGGGGCTTTATGGGGCAAAAATTCAAGGATTTGGCTAAGGTAATATGGAGTATCGAAGTTTTCCGGAGCTTGAAAGGTGTAATGACTGGCCACGTTCGCTCCCAAAGAAATTGCGCCTTCGTCATGCAGCAGCATATAAACTTTCAGATGATTTTTAGCAGCCGCGCGTTTTATTTTTATTTCGAAAGATTCCCATAACTCCTCACCCAGAAGCTTTGCAGATACCGAGAGCAGATTTAAATTCAGCGCAAGAACTATAAGAGAGTACATATTCTACAGGGTGTCCTAAAAAATGTTTAGAACGTTTGATCGTTAATATCTCTCTTCCCAAGAAGTCTTTTGCCTTGCTTCAGGTACCGTTTTGTAGAGCTGGCTTCAACTTAGATTTCCATTATAGAACGAATCACCCATCTCTCTTCATTACTGTAGGGTTACGGTAGAAACTTCAAAGAGGGTTTTGAAACCCATGAAAGGCCATATTTTGCCTCAGAAAGGAAACAAAACAGCCTGAAAACTTTTACACCAGGCTAATTAGAATTGCTGATTATAACTGTAAAGTTCCCAACTTATTATGATGCTTTATTGAAGAGTTATGCCAGGTTAGAGGTAGCGGCCTTTTTTTCAATAGAAAGCTTCGTAATCTTGTGAATAGTTGAGTATTGAACTCAGCATCTATAAAAACCCTATTACACAAGTTTTCACAATTTTTTGAAAAAGCTTTTTCTACATTGACACCATATGTTTCAAGTTTCTACCGTAATCCTACAGTAATGAAGAGAGATGGGTGATTCGTTCTATAATGGAAATCTAAGTTGAAGCCAGCTCTACAAAACGGTACCTGAAGCAAGGCAAAAGACTTCTTGGGAAGAGAGGTATTACTGATCAAACGTTCTAAACATTTTTTTGGGACACCCTGTATATACAAACTCCACTTCGACCAAGTATCCTTTCCTTGTCAGTACGATCTTTGCAATCAAAACCACGAATTCTGGATTACTCATAATTCTAGATCAATTTCCACCCTGTCAATAAAATTAGGCAGGCACATAGCCATTAGGATACATAACCGGGATAGCCACCACCCTCCAAAGAATCATGAGACCCGAGCATGATTTCGGAATCAAAATGGACTACAACTTTTGCTTGAACTTCAATTTGTTTCAATTTCAATTTCTTTCAACTTCAATTGTGTGCCATCATTTTGATAAGACTGATATTAATTGATGCAGTAAGGACACTATAGCTATGGTTAGAGCCAGGCAGGTTGATTAGATATTACGAGTGATCAAAAAATTTGGAAAAAATTTGGAAGCTCGCAAGATTTGGGCACATAATTAGGTAGTTTGGAGTAACTTGTTCCGGATATCAGCTTCAAATTTGATAGGAACGGGCATGAAGAAAGTCTAATCAGTGCGCCTTTTCCGACGCGAAATGGCGTTTACTTCGTCTTCTATGCCCGATAATGCAAAAAATAGCAAGACAGGAGATTCTGCATAGTTTGAGCAAACTCATAAGAAGTTAGAAAGATGCTGTTTTCAAAAATTCAGTCTAAATCTAGGTTGAAGGATTTTCAACCGAATTATAGTATACTGCGCATCCAGCGCAACGTTGCATTTAGATCGCCGCTGGCATGGAGCCAAAAAAGCAAAATTTTGAAGTTTCCGAAAGCACTTTCAGAAAACGCTGGGGACGCCGATTCCGAATACAAACTAGAATTTGATAGATTCAACCTGAAGAGAGTTATGCAGGTGCGGCGACAACAACGGGGCAATGCGTTTATACCGCCAGTGGTCAAGAGAAAGCTTCTTTGAAAAATAGATTTTTGAACTTTTACAACTTTTTCATGTTGTTCACAAGGAGCTGATCACAAATATCGAAGCTGGAATTCAACTGGTTGAACTTTAAGAGAGTTATCGTAAGGCGGCACTTCCGGCGCAACAACGCGTTCATATCATAGGATATCAAGGCGGCAGTGATGGCCGCCTTGAAAATCCATTTTGGGAAACCCATGTTCATTTCAAATTCTGGAAAATCAAGGAAACTTATTCTTTAGAACAAGTTCGAGGAAGAATTTGATTTTTATGAGGAAAATTGAACATTCAATCAATTTCAGTCTCACAGCGAGTGGAGAGGGGAGGGTAAAATTAAACGTTCGCAAATTAGAGTCTTGTTTGAAAAATTCTTCTCTCATTTTTTCCTCATTTTAAGAAATTTAGAAACTTGATTTCGATGTGAAGTTCAGTTTCTTCAGCAATAAAATGAGCATTCGGTCTTGAGCGGAGGTGAAGTCTGTAGATTTCCGCAGTAGAACCTTACTTGTTTTAATTAGATTCGTCTGCGTTTCGCGCACAATTTCCAAGAATTTAGAAATGAGCTTTGAGAGCAAGCGTGCAAACTCATTTTCATTGAAAAAGTAGCGTTCAAGCAGGACTTCGAACGAAGGAAAGTCTGAAGCACGGAAGAGCAATTTTTAACAACTTCCCAGAGCAGACTGTGCAATATATGTGTTGTAGTAGGATTCATCTCTTAGGTTTATTTTTTATAACTTGTGATATTCTTCTGATTGGGATTATATTTAGGGTTTGCTGCGCAACGACTCATTTCTGATACAAATACTGAATTAGCGTAGATTTCTGCTGTCTTATATGCGCTTCTCAAAGTATCTGCCCTCACCCACTTGCTAGCGACCCGTAGGGTCGCTAGTATATATATATCTCCAGTAATATAAACAAAGCTAACAACGGAACCTTGTTTAGGCGAAGTGACCCTTTCAGGTGAGATGCACACCATATTGGAGAACATAAAATGCTGATTCCAAATCTGTCTTCTTTATCTGCGGAACATTGATGGACGAGAAGTTATGGGAGTTTATTGAAGTAATAAAGAAAAGTTCTTTTAGGATAAAATGCGTTGCTAAAACCTCCCAAGTTCTCAAATGAGGCAACCAAGTGTGATCTATGTTTTTATATAAAAGTATCTATTGAATAAAGCGCTTTGATAATCATTACTGCTCCATTAAAGCTCTAGAAAGAATTTTGCGACAATTTTTATCCTATTTGCACATGTAATTTTTTTAATAAACTCTCATAACTTCTCGTCCACGAACGTTCCGCAGATAAGAAATACAGATTTGAAATCAGTATTTTATGCTCTCCAATAGGTATACATTTCTTTAAAAAATTCACTTCGATTAAACAAGGTTCCCTTGTAAGATGTCGTATATGTGCAATTAAAGGAAGTTTCGACATTGGCGAGAAATTTACATTTTGAGTTGCTTACGTTATGAACACTACACGCAGCATTTTCTTGCCCGTTTTCCCAAATCACTAATATTCGCGCTATGCTGCTGCAGTTGGAACAAACATGAGGTAGAGCGATGTTTGGAGGTTGGAGGTGGGCTAAGGACTACATCCACTTTATAGGCTGTAGTGCAGAATATGAGACTTTCTGAATTAGACACGGCGTAAGTTCCTCAACTCTTTCCTCCATCTTTTCAGACATTTAGGTCGAGTCAGATGCCATTTAGTTCACTAAACTTTTAATGGAAGACTCACGTTAGGAAAGGATGGTTCACCATTGTCTGAGTAATTGCTCAGACCTCTAGGATCCATAATTGATTTAAGATTGAGTATCGACTGAACCATAACCACAATTTCTGTAGCAGGGTCTCCCGGTTCGTGATCTTCCCTGAATAACTTTTGTGAGATTACTTACATAGTGTAAAGATAACCACTTCTTTGCGATAGCAAACACTCTATGTTTTGGTTTTTCGAAATAATTTAGGTTTGTTTCATTCTCTTGCGCTGACATAACCATAAACAGACGTAAACACATAAATATGCATACGCTTCCTTTATTGCGTCGCCTTCATCTATTCACAATAACATAAACTAAAGATTTGATAGTTCCCATTTTTGTCTAACTCAATGAATCATGTCCAACGAATGTATTGCACGAATGCATTATTGAAGAAGACACTCATTCAGAAGTCTCTTCTTATCGCATCTAGAGGCGAAAATCATTACTAGTACTTTTCTAGAAATTGGTAACACAATGTTCAACTCATGAGATACTCGTGATCTATGGACCACATATTGGTCAGGGGAACATGCGGCGCCATGGCGATTAAGCGGTGAAAATTGTTGAATACAACTAAAATATTGAGTGTAATACTGTTTTGCTATACTATTCTAATCCTGGTAGATATTACTTTGAATAACATCAAAAAACGAGCTGAAACAGTGTACATTGGCAAGAAAAAATTATTGCGAAACTACATGCTCAAATTATTTGCTACGTTAATCCTTTGGGGGCTGAGATTTGAGACACTGGAGACGTCATTTCTATCCTTAAGTGATATAGGCACTTACAGTGAGCCACACTTTATTTACGCTTACAAGAAAAAGTGCAATTTCCTCTCCAAAAATGTTTAGTATAAAATATTTTTCAAATGCCTCATATTCCTGCCACTGTGACCAAGTAGCCACGCCCTATTAGTCATAGATAACTCTTCCATAAGCTTTTTGATGATTTAATCAAGCAAATGCGGTAATGAGAGGATTATTAGTTTGTAGAAAAACTGGAGGAAATAGAGATAAAAAGCGGTGCCGAATATTTTTTTAGCAGAGAGAGAGTATCTAAAGGATTAAGTACTACCACACGTGACTCCAGCCGAGACCATCTGCAATAGCTGGGATTTCAGAAGGAAGCGGCATACTGCAAAAGCCAACCAGTTTCGCTGCATGTGACTCAAGTTCGCAGCTCCAAGCCTGAAAGTCAAATGCATTTAGTACAAACGCTTTTCCCAACAGTGTAGCCTGCAAACACTTTTCCTACTTATTGCTAAATGTCTGTTTAAAAGGGAAATTGGAAAAATCTGCTTCCAAATAGACCAGTTTGTTCATGTTCTTAGCTGCCGTGAAATAATCTCCGTTTCCCTCGAGTTCTTCTTTGGCCAGACTTGAACGTGTTTCATTGATCAGCTCGAGCACTGCCTGAGCTTATCTCCAAGCCCGTTCTCACAGGCCCCGTCTGCAATGTGATAGTGAAAGACACAAAAATGGAAAAAACGCTTCTTATTGAAATTACATCTTATCTTCAGAATAATATTAACTTACTCACCTCGAGTCCGATGCAGCAAAGTTAAAGAAAACTTTTGTTAATTGATTTCGACAAAATTTCGAAGTAAATATACCGCAAACAATGAAAATCGCGACATCGTAGACTCTGGTGTCGTCTGTCTGTCTGTACGTATGCTCCTAATTGAATTTACCCTTTTATGTACTTGGTGGGTTCCCATAGATTTGGGCATACTAGAAAATATAGAAAATGCAGGCGAGTTGTGCGGCGCAATTTTCTTTTGATCTGTGTATAATAAATCTGAATGTCTGCTTATCGTCTGTCTGTCTGTACGTATGCTCTGGATAAAAATGTATATTTCTGGACCGATCCGGACTAAACTTCGAGCACATACAATTCAGGTCGGGGCAATCGCAGGCTATTCCTTGTCATTGCGATATATTAGGTCGTTCCGAAAGTTCTTTCCGTTTTTTCAACCTATTATAAGAATACGTGAAACAAAGATGGGAAAACGCTTAAACCACTACCCGACGCAATTTTTCTTCTTCTTTCTAACCTTCATGTTCCTATGCAGATTACTCTTGCGTACACTCAGATAATCGCCGAAATTTCGATGGTTTTTGGTTTGTAATTCACTGGTGATGAAAGACTATAGCAGGCCAATATGGACAGCTTAAGCATTGGCGTAGTTGATGTTCTTCCGGGTAACCTGCGTTGGAATATGCACGTAATATACGGTGAGAACATACGGATTGAAGTAATGAGTATATTGAAGATACATAATAAATTGAGGATATGGATCCAGTGGACTGCGAGCAGCCACGACCTTTACCTAGAGTATCCCGTGGCTTCCAGTAAGATCGTCCTTGAGCTTGAAGGTAGCTGAGGGAAGTGTAGGAGACTGCGGAGGCAGTTGACTTGAATGGGGGTTCCCGACATGATGATGGGAAGGGATTGGAATGGAGGTGTAGGAAATAAGGATTGGACCGATTGATGTTGGGGCATAGTAGAAATCGAGGTGATTAAGGAGGCAAATGATTTAACATTTGGGAAATGGATTTTACAGCATGAGAATATTTTAATATAAAATAATGAACATACGAGGGAGAAGGTGTAAAACTGATTAACAACAAATCATATTGAGATGATAAAGTGATAAATCAGTGATATATTCATAGTATATGTAGAAAATTTTGACAATAATTCGTAAGCAATTATAAAATATGATGGCAGTGATTTTACAACGTTACAAAATTTTGTTCACAGTAACATTTTCTGTGAATAACTGCATATAATAACAGTTGCATAACGAGTTCATACGTTGAATTGGGCACTGCACACTTTTTTCATTCAACATAAGGGCAAATTTGATTGTTAGGTAAAGGTTTTGATTTTATGCTGCCTAATGCAAACGATTTCTTTAAATTGCCTGTTCAAAGAAAATTGCAAATGTATAAAAACGCGACAGTGCGGCAAGGAAAAATAGAAAAGCAAATTAACCTTAGAAAATGTATAACTATTCAGTAGCAAAAAAAATTGTGTAATGGAAATTTGCAAATAGTTATTTATTTTCTCCATCGAGATCGGAGTGTGATTCTGATTTTCTGAAAGGTTGTATCAACTGTAGACGATTAGAGCGTCGTACAGGTTGTGGTTCAACATTTTCCAAAGTTTCCATCGTGACAAGTGTGAGAATGAGTTTTTGGGGAAAAACTTTAGCCAATGTCGAACAGTTGAATAGATCTTCAGTCCATTCATATGGGCACATTGAGTGTTAGTAGGTCCATTCAAATTAGAGATAGTGACATTGGGATGACTGACCCACACAACTATAAAAGAGTCTTTGCACTGGTGTGTAAATTTTGAACTGTATCGTCTCTTAGTGAAACTAAATCTCCAGTGGAGATATCCATAGAAAACACTTTGTGATGGAAATCATAACCTGGAATGATATCCACGAAAGTCCCCGCGAAATGGGCTTTTCGTGCGAATAAAATGGGCTTAGTCCATGTGGTGCGATAAGATATCGCATCCGCGAAATTCCATTTCATTGCATGCTAGAGCTCTTACGATAAGGTAGTACAATTTTCTAAAGGGCCGGTCATACCGGTCAGCGATCCATCGCGTCGCTGACTTTCCCAAAGGACAAGTGTTACAAGGCCGGAGATAACTGCGTATCTGTGCTGGTTATCCGGCGCGATGCATCGCGGGCCGTTTTCTGCCCGGCCATACCGATTTGAGCGAAATCGTCGCGATCGTCGCTCATCCTAGCGAATTCGCGTCGCTCATTTCAAACGCGCGACGCGATGGATCGCTAGGATTGGGGTTTCTTCCCAGGAAAGTTTTATGATTGTTCTTTACTTTCTTAAGCTGGTCTCGTGTTTGGGGATTGGAAACTATTTCAGTTTTGTCAAAGTGCATTGGTTTTCCGTGAAATGGAAGTTTTTTGATTGGTCAGCAATTGTCACTCACGCTAAATGCCTTGCACACTTCCGAAATTTGCCAGCTATACGGTTTTCAACTGTTGCGTGTCTCGTGGTACGGCTCTAGGATTAACCATTATAACGTTTCTTTGTGTTCTTTATTACCTCAGTATCCTCATCACGGGCATGACTTTTGTTTGTGAATTCTCAGGAGCTAGTTGTACATACGGTCTAATTTTAACTTTTATCTCTCGAGTATGAAAATTGTCAGAACTTATTGACGTCTTTCTCAAATCCTTATGTTTGCGGTATGACATTCGTTTAGAGCACACAGGCAAAACGCGCAGGAGTTTGTCTACAAATCTTATACCGCAGAAGAATCGGAATTCTCAAAATGTACTTATTCCACGCAGGCATTGAAAAACACTCCTTCCTTTATATCTCATGTTATTTCTTTTGCAGGAGTATCCACTAGCTTTGAAGTTGGTGTACAACTTTGCTTTGGACATGTGTCCTTGCTTGGGAGACAATTATCTGTGGCGATCCATGGGTGCCGAACTTGTGGCACTTCCTGGGAGTGGACAGCCCCTCACTGAAAGGATGGGAAGGTTTGTGCTTGCAAAGAAATGGAATAATCTTTAATGTCTTTCATGCTCTGGAATTTTTCTATCGTTTCTATCTACTGTACCACCCGATAAATTCTGTTTAGGAAGGGGAAATTGCATATTTGATCAAGTCTCTTTGTAATCAAACAGTTTATAGAGAATGGTTTACTCAAGCTTCTATTTTTCTTGGCTTTTTACTTAAAACTTTTATAGGCATCATCGTTGTTAGTAACATTGTACAACACCTCAATCAAGAGTTGGTATCCGAAAATATCAATAAATAGTCTCCTTGTTTTGTCCGTTTTTAGAGAATCATCGTTTTTCCCAGAAAGACTTCATCAGCACGAAACTTTCTGGGTTGGATAGAGTATGCCACTTAATCGACGTGCAGTATTCAAGTTTTCTAACTCATGCGAGCGCTGGTTTTGAAAAAACTTTAATTTTTCTTTTCTTTATCACTGTATTGCTCATGACTACAATGACTGCTCATAGCGCAGAACCATGGCATAATACGCTAGGATCCTTTTTTCCGGTTTTGGAACTGCACTTTTCTGAAGATTGCGCCCATTGCAACATGCACAGAAACTTGTTTTTTGTCAGGCTCATAGCGAAATTTGAGATTTCGATGCTCTAGAAAGTCTTACCAAATGGTTCGGGAGAGCGTAGCCAATATGCGCTCCTTTTGAGGAAATTCTCGCTCTTTTCAACTTGTCTAGAAGTTATTGGAATGAACTGGCGCATATGCATAGTTTTTCATTATTTCCCTCTTCTTATTCGTACATTTTGTCTGTGTATTGATTGCCTCTTTTTTTCAGTTATCGTCCGTTACCTGACTTTCATCCCAACGTTGTGCGGGTACTCACTGCATTTGTTGATTGCATGCCTATCCTGGAGGATGCGAAATCTGCTTATCCGGATGCTTTACCCAATGCGCCTTTCTATGAAATGATTATAAACGAACCGAGGACCATGTTTATCGTTATGAAGAGGCAAATTCTGCGTTGCTTTCCTTCATTTTCCTCACTAGCTACTTTAAATAACCAGAGTTTTCGTAATTGTCCAACTTGCCTATTATGACAATTTCCCATTCTAGAGCAGAGATAAACAAAGAGAGGTCATCATGGCACACTCTGATTCTGAATAATAGTAAACGAAAAGCATCAAGTTTAGTCAACGGCTTCCGCTTACCATACATTCATCCTGCACTGGGATTTCCTTGTTGTGACCTCTTGTGAAAGTGCACATTTTACAGGTATCGAATGACCTTGCGCGATTATTTGGTGGACTTGAAGAGGAAATGTAGCGATTATGTCGCCCGCGTACTTTTTGGTCAACTGCTGGAAGGCTCTGTGTTCTTGTACGATAATGTCGTGGCGCAGCGTGACATGAAGAGCGATAATATCCTCCTCGAATTTGATGATCCAGGTATGTATTGAGCAGTTTTTGCTTGTGCCATTCTGTTAGATCATTCGGTTTTTTTCATTTTTGCACCATCAAATGTGAACAAGCACATCTTTTCTAGATCCAACCTTTTCCCACCAAATAAATTTCATGTTGTTCAGCACATTTCTGTCTACACTCTCACAACGCCCTTTCGCTTTTACCTTGCGAAATAATCTCAGCGGCAGTCATTTCAGCCTGAAAAGGCGTTTTTGAGTAGTTATTTCTCACTGAGCCCTCTTATTTTAGGCAGAGAGGAACTAGCAGAATTGGTGATTGGTAAAGGAAGCTCTAGAAGTCCGAAAAATGACCAGAAACCTTGGTGCGCTGTTAACCCCTTTCATGAGAGCTGCTTTTCTTACATGTGGTTTGGTGGCATCATGTACGAAGTTGACACCTCGCATAGTTGTATGTGGAAGTCTGCTTAGTTTTGAAATTCTGGCAAACGGTCTTTAGACCAATAGACTACTCTGATCTGGCTGTGCAACCACATCTGCAGGTTTATGTTGTGCAAGACCAGCAGATTACAGTGATTTGAGAGTTCGTCACCCTTTTGAGTGAGGGATAATCTATGACCATGCTTTTAATGCTTGTTTCTATAATTTATCACAGTGTTGCTTCTTGTGAAGCATCTTTGGTTTTTCAACTTGATTTGCTACTATTACAAAGTTTTGTAATGTTCTATCTAGGTCCTATCGGAAGCTAAAGAGCTAGCACAGGGCGACCATTAGGATGTACTAGTCCACGTCTTCTCGTCTGGTGCCAGTAGCAAGGTTTGTTTCAAGTCCTCCTGAATCACTTTGCTTTTTAGCATCTTTTCCTAAGTTACTGTCTCATATTGTCTTTTAGATCCTTGATAACGCTCTAAAACAGTTAAAGACTACAAAAGCTGTGATGGGATTCTCCGTGAACGAAGAAAGCGGAAAAGTGTTAGTGCTTGCGAAAGTTGACAAGGTAGGCAAAAAAAGCACATTTCTCATTGTGACTTGCCATTTGTTGTATTGAGTCTACTGATGTTTGTGCTTGTTTCAGTTTTTGATCGAAGGAGGCTTGAATGCTAATCAGTGGGTTAATGAAGTATGTACTGTCCTTGGTGGGCGAGGTGGGGGAAAAGAAGCGAATGCTCAGGTAAAATCTTTACTTTCTGCACTAGCATACCTTCGATAGTCAAGAGACAAGGGCTAGAAAGTGATAGTTGTTTGAGTTCTTGCCCCCTATAAAAAGTGAAGGTTGTTTCAGAAAAATAGACGAAAATTTAGAGATACAAATTAAATTAGAAAACTTAGAAAATTCATATAAAGCAGAGGTTAGCACATCACCAAATCTGAAACCTTAACTTGGTGGTTTCCTACGCAGGGTTTCGTCTCCGGGATTGCCGGTTAAATTGGGTGGCAACAACAACAAAGTTCTTTTCCACTCAAAAAAAGCGCTGTTTAGCTGTGGCGTTAGTTGGGAGATCGAAGGAAGAAGAACTTGTCAACAACTGAATTGAACGTGTTAAACATGTCTGTAAAGTTGTGTTGCACATTGACGCCAATCTGATTTTTGATGCGTCCTTTAAATTTTCACCCCCGCATAGTCGTTTCGTACGCTGCGACGTTGTCTGCATTCTTCCGCTCATCATTCTGAGCAAGTATCGTCCAAGCTGGAAAAAATTCGCTGCAAAAGCACAGAAAGAGAACAAGGTACAGAAAAACGCGCTTTTTTGTATTTTTCACAAAAAAACCAGCGTAAGCAAAGAAGTAAGCTCGGCGACGTTGTCTACATCATAGACAGAAACGAGACCTATCGAGTGCACAAAAAAACCGAGTGAAAAAAGTTAAACTGAAGAAAAAACAAGAGGTTTTCGAAAACGCCGTTTTTCGAGGATTTCTCGTTTAAATCCTAAAAAGAAGTCCCGCGACGTTGTCAGCGTGAAAATAGAGATCAAGAGCTTTAATATGATATATAGATTATCGAGATTGGTCTCCGAACAACGAAGAAAAGGGTACCAGAGCCAAATGCCCCGCGCCCCGCATTTGAGGTAGCGAGGCAGCGCGCAGCGCGCGGAGACGCAGACGAGCAGCGGAGACAGACCAGAGCCGACGGGGCATTTGGCTCTGGTCGTGGATCTTCGCAGGATCTCAACGAAATCCTGCAGAATTATATATCGTTGTGATCCTCATGAGACGGCCAGGAGCACTGACAACGTCGCGGGTCTTGAAAATCACTCCATAACGAGATAGACCAGCATTCATATGGCGACTCTTTGCGCAAGATTTGAGCGCAGTTTTTCCTTTTTATTGAACTCTAGCGGCTTTAGTGAACTTCCAACATTCAACCGCAGTTCAGAGGGAGGTTAATTGAGAAATTTTGCCCTAGTTTTTGATTGAATTCTCAAATAAAAGCCTTCTTCTCAACAAAAAAGGCCATAAAAACGCAATCCTTCGGTTTTTTTTGAGCTTCTTTTGAATGTCATATGTCAATGCTATATTTGCCTCATTTAAATTCATCCCTATACGGTTATGTCATTAGTTATGTCATAGTTTCCGGGGCTTCGCCCCGGATGACTTCTGTACTTCTCCCCGGGTCAAGGTTGTGTTCTATCATGACGCTCAAAGTGAAGGTTACCAGAGTACATGGCTCTATGTATCGAAGGTATGTGCACTAGTTTTTTGATTGATAGTATGCATAAGCTTTGACTCTGAAGTTAGTCTTAAAAACTAGCTGTATATATACATTAACGTCACAGAGGTAGGATAGCTCAATATATATGTGCTTTCATTTAGGCTACTGGTGGAAATATCGAACGGCTAGACGAAGCCGTTGCACTTGCGCGAAGTTGGCAGAAACAACAACAGAAAAAACAGAAACAACAAACAAACAGAAACGAGTAAAACTGATGAATCATTTACTGTGATCATTAGCTCACGAAGTTCGTATGCTCATTTAGCCAATGTTGGGTAATTATACAAGCAACCAAAAGAAAGACCTTTAAAGACTAATACAACATATATTGAAAAAAGGTCATAATCATAATAAAAACTTGATAGCTCAAAACCTTGTGAAGACCCAGCAAGAACAACAACAATGTTTTCTCAAACATTAACAAAAACAATGATCATAATTAACCATCTGCTCAATAAATATATCGAGAAAAGGATTAGAAAGTCATCGGTACAATATCATGAATAAGATCTGTTTCCCTTATGAGCTTCTACAGGCACTGCCTAGATTTTTATGCAATAGTTGTTTCTGCAAACTTCGCGCAAGTGCAACGGCTTCGTCTAACCGTTCGATATTTCCACCAGTAGCCTAAATGAGAGCACATATATCTTGAGCTATCCTAGTACTCTGCGTTGATACCACTGCTT